CTGCCCTGCCCTGCCCTGCCCGCTCCGGCCCGCTCCTGCCCCGCCGCGCCGTCCCCTTGCCGCGCAGCGATGAGCCCGGGCAGCGCTTTCAGCCTCGCCCTGCGCCTTGGGCAAACGCCACCTCCCTCCTTTAACGGGCTCCTTAGTGAACCCTCGGCCCCCTCCTCACGGCCGTTCTCAGCGCCGGGGGTCGCCGGCCGAGTGGCTTTTCGTGGGCTTATGTGTCAAAACGCGACGGGTACGGTCACCAGAAGAGTACCGTTCTCTGGGGAAGGGAGAAAGGTTCTTGTAATGGATTCCTTTCTGTCTCCCTCCTCTTAAGAAAACCTCATCATTCTCTAGGGCMCATCATATTTTATTGCTGATATATCGACATGGCATCATAGATCGAGGAAGAAACGCAGGCACTTGGCATTSATATCTTTGTAGGCTCTAGGATTTTTTTTTTATTTTAAACAAATAATAGTAATTCCCAGTACTCATTGTTCAGAGGCGCAAAGTGATTTTAAAGCCTTTTGTACGGTGGCAAAAAAAAAAAAAAACATCCCGTAGTATCAGAAATGTGCTTCTGTGTCTAGTTAATGAGGTGGGTTTTTTCTTTCCCCTGAGCCCGGTGGGGAGCGGGCAGGATGGAGGCAGGAGCCCTCGGAACGAGCGCGGGCTCCCGGGCACACCTGGGCTATYGCCCGGGCCGGGTACGGCCGCGTCCGAGCGGCCCGGTCCGGTGCCCCCGAAGTTCCCAGAAAGGCCCTTCCGGGTGGAACCAAGCTAGCTGGAAATCTCCCAGCGTCAATTCCCTCTCCGTAGCCTCTCTCCCCCTCTCCCCTCCGCCACAGCCCACCTCTCTTCATCGCCCTTCTCCCCTCCTTGCCCGGCGCCGCAGACGAACGAGCGCCCGTAGGTGTGCGCGCCATGGGCCGGGCTGTGGAAGCCTCTCCGGCCGATACCTGGAGTGCCTCTGTCCTCCTGCCCGCATGGCTGAGGCTCCCTGCGAGCCCCAGCCGACTACAAGGGGCGACAATAAAGCCCATGTCCATCATGTCGCCTGTTCATTTCAGAAAGGGCAGAGCCTGACCTCGGTTCCCCAAGTGGAAGCTTGTCTTGGACACGCACTGTTGTCACCATTTGCTCCAACATTAAAACAGATGTATATTCAGACATATTTTTTTCCCTCCTTTCCATCCAGGCTTTTTTCGTTCTTCCATTTTCCCCTTTAGACGAAGGGGAACTCCCCAGTAATTGTAGGGGCGTGAGAATGGCGTTCAGGGGGACAGTGGCACCTGGGCATACACCTGAGCCACATGCCCACACCTTCCCGTGGGAATCCGCTCCCATCATTTAGCTCCCAAGAAAACTGTTGATCTCTAAGTGTGAGCCTGAACCTTTGCATTTTGTGCTCATGGCTGCTTCGCTTCCTCCCTCCCCCCAGCCCTTTCCCCTCCGGGTTCGTCCCTCTGTTGTGCTTGCAGAGATAACCAGGTTCCCCCCGGTGGGCTGGGGCAGGAGCAGGGCTCGGGCTTCTGCGTCGGGACGGSACCGCGCAGGGCTCGCTGCGGGGGCAGAGGAGGGGGACGTGCCCTCGCTTCTCAGCCAACTGGACAAGAATGCGCTCTATTATAATTGTTGTTGCTGTTGCTGTTAGTAATATTATTGTTATTGTTGTTGTTGTTGTTGTTGTTATTATATTAATTTTAAAATTATCCGTTTGCAACTTACAAAGCTCCTGTAAATGCACCTTAAACCTGCTTTTTTTTTCCTAGCCAATGGTGTCAGGGGCCGGCTAGCCTGTCCCTCCGGAGCATTAACCCTTGTCGCTAGCTGGAGTGAGTGAGAAGCTGAGGTTTGGCCCTGAGGAGCTGTGTGTGTAGATCTGGCACAGCTTTGCTCCCTTAACTCCTGGATCTTTGTTTTAGTGGCGACCAGGGAGAGCAGGGAGCGCTGTGCTCGCATTTCCCTCTGGCTTTTACACATGCACACACACACACACACAAATCCCCCTTTCCAAGTTTCTGCTTTTTGTGCTTCCCTTCCAGTTTTTGCACTTCTCAGACSTACTGGCAGCATTTGCCGAGATCTAGATCCCCGTCGTGGTAAGTGATGCTTTTCTCCATTGCAAAACTCGCTCAGCTCTCGGCTAGCTGTCCCAGGGATGGGTGTAGAAGTTGTATTTGTTTGGAACAGAATTGCCCAACCCCAGTGGTTTCACGTCAAGCAGCACAGAGTAAAACTATTGTCGTGTATTAACTCTGAATGGGAGCAAACAGACCAAATAATCACTGCTGGCTCCGACAGTAGCACGGCACTAATGTCATTCTTTTTAAGTTTGCAAAGCAACTTTTTCTTTTT